GCATACCCCCATCAATTACCAGACACCACCATGGTCGCGTCGTCCCCACTTTTCGGCCGAGGGAAAAATTATGCGATCCCTGCACGAGACTACTAGTCTTATGTACTTCCAATGGGTATACTCGACGCAGAAACTCGTTGTCGAAAGTTCGCTGCCGGAAGCTCGATGTCGAATGCCTGACTTCGATCAGGACACGAACGCTTGTCCTGCGTCTTCAGCTCTTTGTCCAAATCTATGTCGCTCTTCATTGGTTTGGACGCTGTTTTATTGGGGATGATTGGTCTTACCAGTGGTTCCCCTTTTTCTTTGTTAAGCGTTCCGCAAGTTTTAGAAAATCATTCCCACTAAGTAGCGAAGTAGAACTTGGGTTTTCCTACATATGTGGAGTCTTCGAAGGGACTGGACGATCGCGGAAAATTCCTCCAAATGGCATGACGACCCTTCGGAAGCTTAATTTATAGCAAAGTCGGTTATTCAGGTTCGAGAGAAAAAAGGTAAAACGGAGAGAATACATGACATGATGCTAACAAAAATGTTATTGTTATATTTCAAGGGTAGGATCCGGGTTAATTAATAAAATGAACATACATAGACAGTGATGTGCCATAGAACGAAAAAAAGATCGTACTGTATTTCAAATAGAGTATAAGTCTGATACATACAAGAAATAACTAAGCTAAAACGGTTGAGGGTGTTCGCTATCGCAACGCTGCTCTGAGACTGTCCGATCTCGCACCCGCCGGTTCGCAGAAATCGTCACCAGGAGACCTTTGTTTCCTCGTTATCTTTATATTTTTAGGCTCCGCCTACGTAAGGAGCGGTAATTCTCAACCCGCCCTGTGTTTTTACCAGATTGCTGACTTTGTCCGCATGTTTCCCACCAGCTGTCAATTTGCCATCTTTACCTGTGGGCAATAAAGCCCCCTTCGTGTCCATCTCCCATGCAGTTATTGCCGGACGACCTCCAGGGACATCGATTTCCTGCATAGACTTGTTTTTCCCATCGTAAAAATTCCGAAGGTCCTCGTCTTCGGCTAATCCTTACGGTTGCGTAGGATTCCTGCCTGCTAGGGTTCATCTTTAACGAGGGTGTAAGCCGTTAGCTCACGAAAGAAATTTCTTCTTTTGTAAAAAATATCCCTCAATCTCACAGTTATGAAAATGGAAACGTCCTCAAAAATATCCTTTCCGCACGTACTCACCTTAAACTATTCGAATGAAGTCTCCACTTTTTAACTATTGAATTGAGGGATCGGCCCGTTGGCCGGTCCAATAAATTTGAATTTATTGAAAATTTATTTTTGTAAATTTGATTTATCATTAATTGCGTAAACCCGTTTCCCGCTCCTATCCGGACCCGGTTAGGTATTCACCTAACAGAAATACTTCGCCGCCATTTCTCCGCAGGAAAGACTTTTCTTTGAAACCAAAAATATTTTCTTTGAATAAGTGAATATTTAAGATATCAAGATTCAATTTATTTGAGTTACGCAAAATCTTAACAATAAGTAAACTCTAATTGTAATAATATAGCTTTATTGTTTTTCCTATAGGATTACAAGAAACTTCCGATTAAGCTAATTATTAATATTAACTTATTAATTACCTTCCAACTATCTAATTAAACTTTAACTGTTAATTGACGAACTTTTTCAACTAAAAATTAAAGTCCAATTTATAATTCTGTAGGCTTTTCCAGTTAGGGGCTAGGGAACATTGCTATCTGCGTCGTACTTAATTAACGTATATTAGTAAATTACTAAATCAACGTAGTTCTCAAACCAAAGAAACTGTGTCCGGCTGTCGGCTCTTATATCTCGATTTCCAAGGTTTCGGCAAGGCTGTCCCAACTGTCGGTTTACCTAACAGAATTTTTGGAGACAGGGGAAACAGGAACACACTTTGAGAGTATAGAAGAATGGGACTAACAGGAACAAAGGAAGGAAAGAGGAAGAAAAATAAAGGATTTAGGGTACAATGTATGTTATAAGATGGTGAAGGTAAAGGGAATACCGAAGTACTTGAAGAAGGGCTGGAAGGAAGATAAGTGGAAGGGGGTATCGCATTTAGATTAGGAAATGAAATAAAAGTGTCAAAATATTGGAAGGATAGGGATAAAAATATATGTGGATGATGTAAGTGGCAGGTGGAAACATGGAAACACGTGTTGGGGATCGTTTTAGATGAAATTCAGGAAGGAGAGAAATGGCAGGTAAAACCTAAGGAGAAAAAAAGGAGGTAGAAGAATGGATAGTAAGGTAGGAAGAGAGTATTATCGAAAGGAATGAGGGAATAAGAATAACGTAAGTAACGGGAGTAGGGAAATGAAGACGGAAAGAAAGAGAGAGAGAGAGAAAGGAAGTGTTGTGAAAGAGAGTATACGCGTATTGAAAGCAAGGAGATAAAAAAAATTGCAAAGTTGGAGTGGTAGAGAGGAGTCGTGGGTATAAGAAGAAAAGAAAGGGATGCGAGAAAGGGAAAATGAATGCCGGAAATCCAGAAGAGAGGTTAAAAATATGAATTATGATTTTGCATACCAGATAGCGACGTAATTTATGTACACGCGCATTCTCTCTCTCTCTCTCTCTCTCTCTCTCTCTCTCTCTCTCTTTTGTGCATTGTAAATATTTTTGTAAGGTAGTATCTAAGTTTGTTTTATAATATAAGTATGATAGTATTTCTATAAGAGTAGTAAGTAAGATAATTCTAAGGTATTTGTAAGTTACTTGCACAGTGATGTTAACCGCAGTCGCTTGCAACTCCATAAGGGGAACAATGAAGCTATAGTAGCTATACTATAAATCGGGTCCATAACTATCTATTTTATCCTGCGGGGTTATATCTCGATTTATTAGTCAGTCATTGGACACGCTACTCTTTCGTTGTTATTTATAGGTGCATCACGGAGCGAAGCTGCGCGGTGTACAATAAACCAACGTGATACGTAAATGCGCATATCCACGTTTTTAACTGTGTGCCATTTACCATGGGTCGAACATCGAAAAAGACGTACTGATCACACCGATTTATTTGGTCCGAGCCCCAATTTCCATTGCTGACTCGCGATCATTCCTATCTAGAAATAAGCATTTTTCACGTGTTAAATGCAATCCCTGTCAAAGAATCGAACGCATTTATCTCCATTCATCCTCCAACTCTCGAACGTGCCGTGACAATTTCGAAATAACCTTGATATTTATTGTTCTTCTGGCAGAGACGTTTCCACTTCCGCGACCCTGCGCGATTTTCGTACATTCATACACGAAACTCTCCCGACATCTAACAAATTTCTTGATAAATAATAATCACCTCAAAATGTGTACTCGATTTTGATGTTACGATTGATTTTTTGTAATTTCGTTTATTACAATGTAACAAATGATTAGATGCTACGCAATGTAGAAAGTATAAATTGCATATCGTAAAGGCCGATCCCCATAGAACGTGCGATGCGTTGCGATGTTTTTCGAGCTGGCCATGCACATTTGCCGGGTCCACGGTCGTATACACAGGTCCGGAAACTCCGATGGTGGGGGTACAGCGCTTATTTGCCACAGTTGTAATAATAAAAGTCGCCACTTGGTCGCCACGCGCTGCAATCAAGTCCTGAAGGTTGCGAAGTAACTGTGTAGTCACCATGGACTTAAAGGACGGTGCATAGTTGAGGGGAACGGCTCCCAAAAGCGGAAGGGGAAAACAGCTCTGTTTGAGCCCACAAGTGGTGCCCTCAGTGCGGTTCCGCCTGATTTTGAACATGCTTATTCCTCTGATTCGCCTGAAACATGCATGTTGAATATGTGAATTGTCAGAGCCGTCATGATATTTCATGAGACAATCGTAATAAAGTAATGAGTATTCAAAACAATAATTGTGAGATGCATAACATGACGTGTTACATTATATTTTTAGGAACATATATATAAATGGAAGAGCACATAGAGAAGAAATCGAAAGATAATCGCTAGGTTACTTACCAAAGGGCTTACTTTGAAAGGATTATGTACTGAACAGTTTCCAAAAGAAATGCAGAATGAAAATGTGAATGTACAACATAAAGGTATATCGTAAATAGACGTAGTTTATTCTCTCACTGCTTTACACGTACAATTGTAAAACCGTTTTTAATTTTTACAGGAGCATATACAGAGGATTCAATTATGGGAAGGAGCAATTATGAATCAAGACCTGTAAGTACGTCGGTAACACAGCCTTTATTCTTTCAGTACTCTCTCATTATAATTGTAAAACCGTTTTTAATTTTTACAGGAGCATATACAGAGGATTCAATTATGGGAAGGAGCAATTATGAATCAAGACCTGTAAGTACGTCGGTAACACAGCCTTTATTCTTTCAGTACTCTCTCATTATAATTGTAAAACCGTTTTTAATTTTTACAGGAGCATATACAGAGGATTCAATTAAGGGAAGGAGCAATTATGAATCAAGACCTGTAAGTACGTCGGTAACACAGCCTTTATTCTTTCAGTACTCTCTCATTATAATTGTAAAACCGTTTTTAATTTTTACAGGAGCATATACAGAGGATTCAATTA